TTCTGCTCTAATTCTGCCTTTCAAATAGATATATGAAATATTTTAAAATAGAAAACTTCTGTTGTAAATATCACCCCACCCTGATTTTAGTTGCCCTGAGCAAGATGCTAGATCTGGTGTCATTTATTCCATCTTATCTGGAACTTGAAATCCTCACTGTTATTTTTGAACACTAACACTGTAGTATTTTTTGGTAATAGTCTGTAATAGCTAACTTTTATTAAAGAATTTATTCAGAGAGTATGATTTTTAGCCCCAAATGTCAAAATGTATCTTTAAATTTTACATTTAAACCCAACCAAATTAATTTCCAAGGATACGTCTTCCTTCAACTAGTTGAGCACTTTACTATGCAGTAGAAACACTTTTAGCTGCTAGGGATGATAGATGTGAAAAAGTCCTGTCTTCCTGCTCATAGTTAGTGAGAATGCCCCCAGACAATAAAAGGAAACAGTGTTAAAAATTCTAAATTGCGCTTCAAGTATGCCAACATATTAGTAGCCCTGAGTCACGATCTTGTAGCATTAGTGGATAATTTGTATTCAATTCAGATGCACGCTTCAAGAGAGACAGAGATCCCATCAGCTCTGATTTGTAGCTAGGCAGTGAATACCGGTTTGATTTAAAAAAAAAAAAAAAAGAAAAAAGATCATTCTGCATGTCTCAAAGATCCTTGCTTTGCTGGCCTCAGAGGCCTGAGAGGGAACAGCCACAGCAGGAGATGTGTACAAAGCGGAAGATACAGCAGGGGAGGACGACATGGACATGTAATCTGAAGCTGACTGCCTGTCCTCCATTGTCAAGTTTCTTAAATTTATGACTGGCAGCTGAGAGCTGACACTTCCTGCCTTTGGTCTGGTTCCTGACATTTTCTTCCAGTTGGTTCAAGTTCTTTGCTTTCATTGCCCTGGAAGACAGAAGGCAGGAGGAGTGTATTTTGCAATTTTAAACTTTATTCGTGTGTGTGTGTGTGTGTGTGTGTGTGTGTGTGTGTGTGTGTGTGTGAACGAGCCACAAAAAAAGGGAGAAAACATGGAAAACGTGACTGTACGAATGGTATCTGGAAAACTTGGCTGTGTCTGAGGTGGTCAGCGACCCGGGCCCCCTAAGGGGTCTTTCCCGAGGCCCACGTGCCCCGATCACGAATGCGCCCGCAGGTTACCCCCACCTCCAGCCATAGGGGAGCAGAGTGGATGGGAACGAGGATCGCACCGGCATGCAGCCCTGGACGCTTTCTCAGCGGCCTCTGCGCGCGTCCTGAGGGCGGTTTGGGGGCAGCAGAGACCATGGCACTCGACTCGGGAGGTGCCAGGCGCCCCTATTCTGCCACCGCTCTCGGGGTGGCGGGGGCGGGCCGGCCCGAGCGGGCGGGGCGGGGGCGCGGCCCGGCGACCACGTGATGGGCGGCGGGGCTATTAAGCAGCGCGGCAGCCGCTCGCATCCCGAGCTGGTGCTTCGCCCGCGACGCAGCGCCCAGGCTTGACGCCCCTCTTGGAGCCGCACGAAGGTCATCCCGCCAGCCAGCCCGTCTGCCCCGCATCTCTGCCGTGCCCGCCGAGCCTCCGTGGGTCTGTCCGTCGCCTCCGAACCCCACGCCCCGCGCCACAAGCCCCGGCCGCACAAGCACCATGAATCAGATCGAACCCGGTGTGCAGTACAACTATGTCTATGACGAAGATGAATACATGATCCAGGAGGAGGAGTGGGACCGCGACCTGCTCCTGGACCCAGCCTGGGAGAAGCAACAGAGGAAGGTCAGCAGGTGCCCTGTGCTGCCATCCATGGGCCGGACCACATGGCTGTGGGTTCCCGGTACTCCTTCCACATCCCCAGCTACCCCAGTCCTTGAGCATCCCGGGTCCTTGAACCTGCCACAGGGTGCTGGATGGAGTTGCTGTGTGATCTTGCGGTCTCGCAGCCCTAGTGGATGGGGGTGGGTATTAGAAAGGGGAGAACACGTGCAGGGTGCCCGGACAGGCAGGACGCTGGTCGTCGTGTGTGCGCGAGCGCATGTATATGGTTAACATGAGGGTTGTAGAATGACAATCGTTAAGAGAAGAGCAGCTCGTTGTTAAGCTTGTTCCTGTTTCTCCCACTGACTAGCCTTAGAAGTGGCTCTGAAAGTCTCAGGTCTGCTTCTGAGGCCACTCTTGGCTCCATGACCTTGCCTACAGAGTTAACAGTTTACTGGCCTTAATATGCAGTCCATGGCCCAAACCAAGTCTCTCCAAATGAAAGAGGTAAAATGACCACCAGGATTTTCCCCCAAGAGTAGTGAAAGGTCATGTGTGGGGGCCTTTTTAGCAAGGGATGCTGTATGATCACTGTGTATTCATGATCAAGTAATAATTATTTCACACTCTATTTATAGTTCATTGAGGTAAGCGCATAGGGTCGAAAGAGTCAGCCAGCTTCTAAAAGGTCCTGCTGGTTGGCGCTCTCTGGAGGTCCAGTGGAACATTCCACCATTTTAAGATTTCTTCTTGATCCTCTTAGCTAGAACAAATAGGGAATGCTCCCTGGCAGGCTAAATCTGACCTCCTGTTTGGGTTTGAAGCCTGGCTGGGCAGACGTGACCACAGAGACCTGCTAACCCAGCCGGAGGATGACAGTGTCATGGCAAATGCCAAGTGCCCCATCTTTTGCCTTCTATTTTCATGGGCATAGGGCAAGGTGGATTTCGTTTCCCAGGGCCTGCTTTTAAGTGGGTAACCGCCTAGGAATCTGTGTGTAGCTGCCACTATGGGTGATTGTGTGATAGTATATGGTAAATGTGTGATAGTGGAAAACACACATCCCATGCTTCTTTCCCAGTAGTGTTAGCTGGAAGGACAGAGGTCTCACACTTCGATAATTTTCAAATAACCAAGCACTATTTTTCTATCAGGATCTCTCACTTCTTGTTTACCCTCCTGGGAATTGCCATTTACCAGTGTTGAAAGCTCTGATTCAGTTGCATCTCAGTCTCTGCCTAGCTTTCCAAGGCTTTTGCCTCTCTTGGAAACAAGAGGATAGGAATCACAAACAGAAGCCAAGTTTGAAGCAAAAATGTCAAACCCGCTCTGATTTTTTAAGGGCTTATTGTGAGGGAAGCACATGGCCTAAGGCTTACGAATGCCACAGCTGAATGAGCTGATGCATCATCAGACAGCGAGAAACCATAAAGCAACTTCAGTTTTTAGCATGGAATGTTCTTTAAAATTTTCTCCATGATTTTGGGCACTGCCTTTTTCATAGATGAGCAAAGAATTTCCTTGGTGTTTGTTTCAAATTCTCTTTTATTTTGAGGAAGTTTGACAGACAGACTCTGTCCAATTCCTGTCTCTGTCATTTTCTAAAGCTATGGTGTAATCTCAGTGGTTTCTATTGATTTATCTTTAATACAGCACAATGGCAGGCTCAAACTATCAATTTCCTAGAGGTCTATTGACACATATCTCCTACCATATTTATTCCTGTTGTCCTTTTTTTAGGTTTAAGGAGTCCTATGCGATTATTTAATCATATGTAAAGCACTTGAATAAAGATTATTATTAAAAGACATCCTGCTCCCAGTTCAACCAACTGCTAAAATGTCTAAATTTTTTTTCTTAAGACTGCTGAGTATTGTAGGTGCTGGGGTGCAGGGGAACCTAAAACTTCAGAAGGACACAGACTCTGAACAGACCCAGAAGATACTCTCTTTTTACTTTTGGTATAGAACCTGCTCGAGTCAGTAAAGTAACGCTGAACTGTGAGCTCAGTACAGCCAGCACAGGGACCTCTATTTATGTCCTATGAGACATGCTGTTGGAACAGGGCAAGGATAAAATGCCATTGTTTCTATTGTGGGCTACCTTCTCCACATTTGCCATTTCAGTGATACGCTGGGTATGAGATCTGTCAACAGATGCTGGCAGCACATGATGACGTCCGCAGCGTTCTAATGGATGTGGTACCTAATTATATCCCCAGTTCGGGGGCTGTGGAAATCCCTGTCCTTTGGTGTGGAATGCCTTGCTGCAGGCAGACTTAGTAAGAGTATAGTACCTTCTATAAAAGGAGGCAATCCAGAAGGTATTGGGGTTAGCATGGGGACATACATGTCAGGATGCCTGCCTTTCCTTTCAGGGGTGTGTTTAGTTGGGAGATAGAAGCATAGTTGCATTTCCTATAGAGAAGGGTGCATTTAACTTCATGCACAGCTCATGCGTAGAACAACTCCTGTAGATACGTATTAATGGCATGCTATGAAGACTGCAGTGATGAGGTATCCTCTCCCATATAGGACAGTTCCAGAGAATCAGTTTTGAAGAAGCTGAGCTTGGTTTCAGGGGCTTTTGAAACTTCTGAGAGCTTCAGTGTCTAAAAACAGCCTTTTTCTTGATCAAGGGACACATTCAGCCATTAGCTCTGCTGAAGCCTAATCTGGAAGTGACTTTTCCAGGCAGCAATGCTGAGCACGTGTGCTATCTCGCAAGCACAGCGCTCTGTCCTTAACCACACAGGAAGACCAGAACAGGCCTTTTAAGGCAATGAGATATCCCTGTCAGTACCTAAATGGTTCTTTATATCCTAAATCTTTGTGACTTGGTGATCCACACAGTTTTCTTAGAGGAACTTTGATTGTCTTTAATGGTCCTTAAAAAAAGAAGTTTTCCTCTTCTCTTCACCTGATTCACCTTGAAGTGTTTCTGTCTGGCTGGCATCAGGGCTAACATGTCACATCACCAAATGGAATTAGGCCACAAGAAGGGGTGCATGTGTAGGGGCAGCTGTGCACAAGATAGGGATTCGGTTGAGAACCCGGGAGCCCTACCTGTCTTTGGCGGTGGGGGGAGTAGCTGCTAATGTAAGGGCATGTGGTGAAGACTCATTGCCCTGCATAGTGAAACACACTCTAGCATGGTATTACCTAGGAGACAAGAACATCAATTGTTTGCTCCCACCAGATGAAAAGTGAATTAAAACCTTGTGAAATTTCTCAGATTCAAGAGATTCAGATGAATCAGCTTTGTTTGCAACTGTATGTGTGCCCACAGTTGAGTCACTAAACTTTTTTGAGCTATCATTTGTTCATTTAGAAAATTAAGATAAATTCCTGTCTGTCTTGCTTCACTGATGGGTTTCTGCCAGATGAGATGTTTATACTGACTTCTGTTGAAGGGAATTTGTACACTGTAAAGTCATCTGTAAATGCTTATATGTCACTATTATCTTGTGATATTGCAGCGAATATTTGTTAATTTTATCAAGTGGTCTAATGAATGCTACAGTCAGGCTTGTGAAGAATGATGAAGCACAATATTTGGTCCTTGGTGACTCCGTCATACTTTTATGTTGTAAAATATACATAATCCAAAACATACAGTTTTGACTATTTTTTTTTTTAAAGATTTATTTTTATTATTTTTTCATTGGAAAGGCGGATATACAGAGAGGAGAGACAGAGAGGAAGATCTTCCGTCCGATGATTCACTCCCCAAGTGAGCGCAACGGGCCGATACTATGCCGATCCGAAGCCAGGAGCCTCTTCTGGGTCTCCCACGCGGGTGCAGGGTCCCAAAGCTTTGGGCTGTCCTCGACTGCTTTCCCAGGCCACAGGCAGGGAGCTGGAAGGGAAGCGGGGCTGCCGGGATTAGAACCGGCGCCCATATGGGATCCCGGGCGTGCAAGGCGAGGACCTTTAACCACTTGCGCCACCGCGCCGGGCCCAGTTTTGACTATTTTTATGTGTACAATCCCATATCATTACTTAAATTCGTGTTATTACAAAACCATCAATTGCTTTCTAACTCTTGAACTTTTTCAACCCAAACTGAAACTCTGTGCTCATCAAACACTAGCTTTCCATTTCCCCCTGCTCCCCTGTGTGCTTCTAAAACAGGATTGACACACTGGAACACCTAGAACCTAGAACATAACAAATTGTCTAAGATAAGTGCCAGATGCTTACATAAAGAATAAGTCATGGTAGGTCAGAGAGGATTATTGTGGGTGGAGAATAATGAAAAAAGACCTGTAGGGAAGTAGAATTGGAGTTTGGTCCTCATTTGAGAACTAACTATTGAATGATTGGCAAGTTGGATCAAAAAGCATTTTTGGCTAGCAAAATAGTATGAAAAGCCAGTGTGTGTGTTGGGGAGAGAGGGAAAGAGTGGTAAGTGTAATATTGTCTTAACCTTGCTAGTACTATCAATGCCCCTCAGATCCACTACTGTGAGACCCTATGGAAGAACAAGTTCAGAGGAAGGAGGATAAAAGGTCAAAGTCACCACAGTGGTCCAGGCTGTAGCCTTCTAGGGTATGTCTGCCTTCTAGGGTATGTCTGTGGCTTATGATGTGTTTGAGGAAGGGTGAGTAGGAAGGGGGCTTCTGAAGCTCAAGGTCACGTATTTCAATGTAGAGAGAACATTGAGTAACTACAACAGGGCCAGGTTACAGAGGACTTGGATCAGGCTGAGTATGGACTTGTTTTTTTCAAACAGAACAGAGCTTAATTTTGAAAGAACCAAGCTTGAAATAGTTTATTATTTGCATGATAAATCCTAGTAGGTGAGGGCCTGAGGCTGGAGGGCCAAGGGCAAAAAGAATTCACACAAAAGAACTCATGATGGAAAAAAAAAAAAAAAAAACTCATGATGGGACACTGCGCAGAAGGTGGTGGGAATTAGAATGTGAGGACTCAAAGAAGCAATGGTGAGGAAGGCATCAATTTGAGGGTGATCAGGAGGGATTAGGAATATTAAATAACCACATGGCATATGGTAGGCTGGTGTATAAATTCAGTTAAGCAGATATGATCCAAGGATCAGAGCTCCTGACTTAAAGCTCAAGACAGGGGCACCACAAATGACAAAGCTAATGAAAGGAGTGTGTTTAGCCACCGGGAGATGGTGTTTAGATGGGAAGCTAAATATTTACAAGATATGTCATCACTCGGTGCAGAAAAATGAGTGATTGTGCTAAGGTGTCTAGTCTGGCATCCAAGAGGCATTGCTCAGGAGAGTTGGAGTTCCAGGTAGCATTTGATGGCCAAAGAAAGTTTTTGATGTGCAGAAATGTCAAGGAAGAAAGACTACCCTTGGAAACTAATTTCCATGACAGGTGACAGGCCTGGTGGGCAGCGCAGAATCACAGGTGCCATTGTTAAAATATGGAAAGATTACTTGTTGTCTTTGCATCCTGTCTGGAACACCATGTTCTGTCCGGAATCTGCCTTACCTTCAGCCACATCTACTGAACAAGAAATTTGAGCCCAAAATAAGGTTTTCCTCGAGTGTGGGAGGAGGAATCTAATTTTTTGCAGGGAAACATAATGAATACAGCCTCAGAAAACTGTCAGAAAGTACTGCGGTCCGTTGCCACAGCTGGGAGACACCTACAGACAAGGCGCAGTGGGTGGGGGAGTCACTGTGATGAGCAGAGGAGTTCATGTGGAATACGTTGGAGGACAGTCAGAGTTCCACTGCCGTTTCCCGGGGAACGGGACTCTGCTTCCAGAAAGAACTGAGAGCTGAAGATTGGGAGGCAAGCTTGTGAAGTAGTCTGCAAGACACATTTCAAACGCAAGAAAATCTTAAGTGCAAGAATATCATCTTTGTAAAGGAGTTTAAGAAGAGCAATTTTTGTACGAACAGCTGAGCAGATTTTCATTCTTTCTCCCCCACCAGAACCCCCTTTCCCACTGTTTTCCAGTTCAGAAGCTAGAAGATGTTTTTACCTGCCCAAGCACAACTGATTTTCACTGTCTCTTTCATTTGGCAAACTTGTCTCATGGTCCTTCCAAGGGTGAGACAAGAGAATGATGCTGACATAACCCTGGCCCCTGAGGTGCTTATAGTCTAGTGAGGAAACAGAAAAGCTTGGTGAGAAGCTTGGAGAAGGGACTCTTTGGTTAGCTGGGCTGCTGGAAGGAAGCAGAGACAGGTATTCCTCCTGCTTGCCTCTGTGTCAGGCCGACTGGAAGCGTCTTCTGAGGCTCCTGGGCCAAACACCAGGCAGTTACCTGAACTTTCTCTGTGCTACACATCTCAGCCAGTCACTCAGCAGTTCTTGTCGGGGCTGCCTCCTACATGCCTCCTGCCCCTCGGCTGGGCTCCAGGGACTTCAGGCTTTTCTGTATTCCCTCCTAGATCAGGGCTGGGGCCTCAGGCTTGTCAGCAGCCTTTCCTCCAGGATCCTGGGTAGAATGCCCTTGATAAGACACAGGTCTGGTTGTGAGAGCTTCCTGTTCAGAGTATCTCTGTGACTCTTCTTTGGTATTCACTTGGAAGAGCATTGTTGGATTTCATAGAAGCCCAAAGTGTGGCATTTGGAGAGAGTATTTGATATCTAAGGGGAAAACCAAGGAGAGGGATGAAGGCTACAAATCCAGGTACAGGAGTGAATCTGCTTATATACGCGGTGGCTGAGATTGTGAGAGAGAGAAGTGGAAGAGGAGTTACCCAAGAGGCACTAACATGGGCTAAGATTAGAGGACTCCTGAAGGCAGTGGTGACTTTGTCTGTGGAAGCCTTTGTTTTGTTTTGTTTTTTCCTGGATGAAAATGTGCAGATACTAGATAGTTTGGAACCACTGGACTGTCAAGACATCCTTGGTTTTTCTTTTTTCTTTTTTTTTTTTTTGTTCTGGAGAAATCTTCCTCTCTGTATTCTGTTGGAACTTTGCCAAGAAGCCTAACTCTGACCCTTTAATCAGTCAGCTTGCTGGAACAGAAGCCCAGAGCTTTGGTGCGGTGCAGTGAGATATCTTTTAGCTTGTGAAACAAGTTTTATTTTCAAAGCAACTGAAAGCTGTAAGTAATTATTATTGTGGGGGTTGTGCTCAAGTTTGTTATATTAAAAAATGTTTTAACACAGAAAGACCAATAATTGGTTTTATGGAGGAAAATGTAATTGAAAATTTGTGAGGATTATCAAAAACAGTAGAATTTGCTTGATATTAACATACTAGGTATAGAATTAAATCCCAAGGTATGTTTTCCTTTTTTTTTTTTTTTAAATTATCGTGTTAAGGGCCTGGTGGCATGGCCTAGCGGCTAAAGTCCTTGCCTTGAACGCCCTGGGATCCCATATGGGTGCCGGTTCTGGTCCCAGCAGCTCCACTTCCCCTCCAGCTCCCTGCTTGTGGCCTGGGAAAGCAGTCAAGGACGGCCCAGGCCTTGGGACCCTGTACCCGTGTGGGATACCCCGGAGGAAGTTCCTGGATCCTGGCTTTGGAACAGCATAGCATCGGCCGTTGCGCTCACTTGGGGAGTGAGTCTTCAGATGGAAGATCTTCCTCTCTGTCTCACCTCCTCTCTGTATATCTGACTTTGTAATAAATAAATAAATAAATCTTTAAAAAAATTATCATGTTAAAATTAAGGCAGTGATTTGAATTATTAACTTCCTTGAGGTGTTTGGTTTAGTGGAGACTATCAGTTGTGAAAATAGTAAAGGGCATACACAGAATTGCAAGAAATTTAAACTTACCTGCAGAGAATTATACTTTCGTGTTTAGAAACACGTTTTTGAGGAAGGGCATTTCCTGACGATGGACAGGTTGAGCTGGGATGTAGGAAGAGGGCTAACATTTTAAAAAATGCAAGCCATGTGTTTATACAGACTGTAACATTTCTATTCTATTGAAGTTTTGTGAAATATAAAATGACTGCTAATTCTATTATATATTTTGGCTTTTGGGGTAAGATTTTGGAGCACATAACTTTTCTTTAAGTAATCAAAGAGGTAATTCTGTTCGGACAGAATAACTGATATTTTAATCCATTGTTGTAGCAGATTTTAAAAAGGAGGTGGATTTTGGCATATTACTCCTGTTATCTCATACTAGTCACTGTATGAAATAGAGAGGCAACTATTGGAATTTCCAGGGACTTTTAAAACCACATATATCAATTGGTCTTGACCATTTTGAAAGATAAATATAATTTTTGTTTTTTTACATAGTTTTGATTTTTAGATAGTTTTTTTTAAAAAAAGATTTATTGGAAAGGCAGATCTGCAGAGAAAAGGAGAGATAAGAAAAAAG